GTTGTACATTACTATATTCAGGATTTATGTTACTATACTACAAGTCTTCTTTCTGATCCAGCTAGATTTAATCTTGAGAATGAATGAATGAAGGACGAGTCGTTGTACATAAGTATATTCAGGATTTATGTTACTATACTAGAAGTCTTCTTTCTGATCCAGCTAGATTTAATCTTGAGAATGATACTCCAGCGTCTTCGTTGGAAACTTCTTCTCCCATCAATTGCTTTTAAGCAGTCAAACTGCCTACAGTCTGAAGGTTTACCGATCGTCTCCAACTTTAAAAATTGCCGCTTCTTTGTATTCCTAAAAAACATTCTAGTCAAATGACCTTGAAACAATGACGCCAACTTTCAGCCCTATTAAAAAGTCTGATCGTACGATAAAGTCAAACAATTTGTTATAGAGATTCGAGAAAGGAACGAGGAAGCTACTGCAGACATCCAGAGACCCAGGTTTTCAATTAGTGTCAAAAGAAACCCAACAGGGTTTTGTTGTTCTCGTGATTTATTGGACGGATAACGTTCGTACGTGAAAATAGTGCGAAAAAACACGTTATCTGTAGCACAAGCTGAAGAAAGATTTATCGAAAAACAAAACAAAATGTCTGGCTATACTAGTTCCCTTCACTCTCTATACTCTTTGTTCTATATTAACAACTTGTAAAAGAAATTTGATACTTGTTTGTGCTGTGTTTTGGGCTTATAAACGGAATTCTAATTAGAAACGTTTTAACAGACGTACGATCTTCCGGTTGGCCAGTTATATTATGTGCTTATAATGAAAACGTATAATATTACAGAATTCTATAATCTAATAACTAACATTTCTAAATGTTAGGAAGGAATAGCTAAACAAAAGGACTGGACAGACACAATTATAGGCACTTCCAATAACTTAAGATCTATAAATTAACGTATTCACATATTTATTATTGTGCCCATTAGATGGCACCACTATGAAGTGCTAACCAGAGAGGATATTTCTGAATGTTAACTAAATTATACTAGTTTTTGAAATTCGACATTGTATAGCAGTAAGATTCTAATTACATTAAATCATGTAGGGATGAGCTTGACATGCATACAACTATTTTAAAACAAAGTAATTTGTAAGTAGGATTAGGTTCCGGATGTCTTTGTATCTGATTATCTCCTATCTGATTATCTAAAGTTGGTTGTCTGTCTGTCTGTACACGAATTTATAACTGATCCTGTATATTTGTTCCAAGATGAATTATACAATCCAACTACCGATGGTATTACTAATTTTTTTTTGAATCTCAAGCCATCTAACACTATTCAAGAGAAATGTATATTCTTAAATGCGCAGACAGTCCCGGGGTGGGTAGCTGAACTGTTGTTGGCCCGCGGAAGCTAATGCCTTTTCTTAATATAAGTTTAGATGTGACCCGGTTATATGTTTCATTCCCTCCCTCCCCTTTCCCTCTTAAATCCGAAAAGTTGGAATCCGAACTGTGTATATTATGTAGTTGGTTATCTTATTTTCGTACTTGTATTGATTGTACTCCAACCATTGTATTATTATTTAACCTAAAAGTTTTAGGTAAACTAAGCACATAAAACATGGACGACGTATTATATTATGTTTTGCTAGTTTTTTAATGAGTCTGTTTTTGTCGGTATTGGTTATTTTGAAAAGACTTAGTTACAGCTCTTAACTGAATTTGTTAAACGATTTCGTTGAACAGAAAACAGGATTATAAATAATGAAGTAACTAATTAGGGTAAACGTTTAAACTTTACATTAATTTCTGAACCACTTTGAAAACAGGTTTATAAATAGTGAAGTAACTAATTAGGGTAAACGTTTAAACTTTACATTAATTTCTGAACCACTTTGAAAACAGGTTTATAAATAGTGAAGTAACTAATCATGGTAAACGTTTAATCTTTACATTAATTTCTGAACCACTTTGAAAACAGGATTATAAATAGTGAAGTAACTAATTAGGGTAAACGTTTAAACTTTTACATTGGTTTCTGAACCACTTTGAAAACAGGATTATAAATAGTGAAGTAACTAATTAGGGTAAACGTTTAACCTTTACATTGGTTTCTGAACCACTTTGAAAACAGGATTATAAATAGTGAAGTAACTAATTAGGGTAAACGTTTAATCTTTACATTGGTTTCTGAACCACTTTGAAAACAGGATTATAAATATTGAAGTAACTAATTAGGGTAAACGTTTAATCTTTACATTGGTTTCTGAACCACTTTGAAAACAGGATTATAAATAGTGAAGTAACTAATTAGGGTAAACGTTTAATCTTTACATTGGTTTCTGAACCACTTTCACGTTTAAGAGATGATCAATCACTATATGGAAATAACATAACATACGAACAACTTGGAAACATCTAAATAAAAACTTAAAACTAACTTTTATTTTTCAGGAAATTATCGGTTCCCCTTTTAAGTCCTTGTAAATTGCTAGCCCCTCATTACTACTGCTGATGCCAACTCATTCCATAAGCCAATCAACTGGTTAGAAAAACAAAACTGTCTTAACTGGAGCCTAGCCTGTCTTTTTGGAACCTCAAAATTATTTCTTCTCGTCCTGTTGTCTTTAGAGTAAAGCACAAAGAAATCTGAATTTTTTATCCTATTGATTCCTCGGAGCAATAATGGTTATATTAATTAATGGGAGTAAATAATCACAATAATGGTTATATTAATTAATGGGAGTAAATAATCACAATAATGGTTATATTAATTAATGGGAGTAAATAATCACAATAATGGTTATATTAATTAATGGGAGTAGATAATCACAATAATGGTTATATTAATTAATGGGAGTAAATAATCACAATAATGGTTATATTAATTAATGGGAGTAAATAATCACAATAATGGTTATATTAATTAATGGGAGTAAATAATCACAATAATGGTT